TTAAACTTGAGAATTGTAGCAATGTTTATGTACAATGAATGGTTCAAAATTACTTACTTACTGACCTGCAAGAAGAAAGCCTTATAATTTACCAGATTTTTTGTTCCTGCAATTAATATGAGAGACATTTGCAAACATCTTGCACTTTATTCTAGTCTTGCTGTTCTAGGGACATGGTAGTAAGCATTACACCAAAAATGACAAAAAAAAAAAAAAGAAAAAAAAAGAAAAAAAAAATAAATAAGAGCTAAAGGCAGAAAAAACAAACCCAAAGCTGAGCTGGAGTCTGTCTATTGCTGACAAACCAGAATGAGTTACAGGGAGTTGGTCTCTGCACTTAAGACACTCATGTTTTCAAAACTGCCTTCATATTGTCAGGACCCTGAGGGTGTCACCAGACCCACGCCTTGGGGCTCCCCCAACCCTGCCCACAGCCCGAGACTTCATCTTAGCCCCACAAGAGCCATCAGTCCCTGCCCCAGTGATGTCTCAGCAGGGCCCATAGCCTTGCCTCCCCAGACATGAGCCCAGCCTGTGGGTTGATGTCTCGTTCTGACCCTGACTGGCCCCCGCCCCTGTCCCCAAGGAGCTGCCAAGCCACTGAGAGGCTGTGCCTCACCCTGGTTCTCCACATTGTGCCTGATAATTTAAAACACTATTTTAAAAATGAAAATAGTCATTCACAATGAACATATACTTCCATTTCATAAAGTACTTGCATTTTAATGAAGAATATAGTTTCCTAGCAGCAGGTGTTAACATTGAAATGAAAAATTAGATCATTATATTGTGTATCTGCCTTCAGAAGGATAAATTGAAAATAGGATTTACTAAAAACACTGATAATATCTTGAAATCCTTATTTGTCTTTAAAGCTATATTAAATTTCATGGGGTTTCTAGTTTGCTTGAGGTATTTCGAGATTGTTTGGGAAATACACAGTGGAATGTTTTTCTAAGCTGTCACAACTATATGTTTGTCTGAAATGCGACCTGTTGATAGCTTTATGGAGGTGCATTTTGATCTATGCATCCTCCCTTGTTCTGGGAAAGCTTTAAAAATAATTAAAAAGCTTCTGATTCTCAGTCTTTCTGCATTAAATGCCAGAATTAAAGGTGAAATGTGAGGCCACGGGAATCTGTTCTTAAACTCTGATTCTGCAGACCCTGAATGTGTTTACCTAATTTCCGTGCAGTAGCAAGGGCTACTTTCAGTGTTTTAAATTAAGTAAATACAAAAATCTTTCCAGGATTAGGGTTATCCTTTAACACTCTCACATATTTTCATCAGCAATTTCCTCTGAATTTCCTCCTTATGAAGCTCCATGACCAGACAAATTTGGTGCAGGCTGAGGAAAACTCTAGCAGAAGCACACAAATGAACGGCTTATTAGACAAATAGTATGTGCCATTAGAGAGCTACAAAGACAGTCAAATATTATGAATTTCACTTTGTCCTCTTGATATATTTTACTGGTGGGTTTAGTTCTTAAGCTTGAAAATTTTCATAGCTTTTATTCTGAAGAATATAACCTATCAAGGAAGAAACCTACAGGGATTAGAAGTCTCTATGGCACAGCTGTAATACCCCTTATAAATATCTGTGATGCTATATTTCTACAAATGTGAACAGCCTTTGTTTTTTGCTGTGAATGCAATGAAATTAAAAGCACAAGCTTTTAATGACATGAAATTAAAAGCACATGTGCTAATGGTCTAGAATGAGGAAACCTACAGTTATTTCAGGGTATGGCCATGTGTACATGGATGTATCATAAAGCTTTTGAGGACTTTTTTTTTCAAGCAAACTAAATTTGCATCTGTACAGCATATCTTGTTAGCTGTTAAAATAATCCACAGGACTTTTTAGAGCTTACACCATTTTTTAATCTACTTGGCATGTACAGTCCTGAATTAGAGCTGTCTTCATTATAAAGCTGGAAATTACTTTCAATGGTTATTTGACTATCAGCTTCTCTACTCAATTCATGTGTAGATAAATCTGTAAATACAGCCCTTCCTCTTTGCTTTGTATTTTATTTTATTCTTATATTGCATATTCTGGTATGTTCTAGAAATTCTATGCTTTCATATAACTATATTTCATTTCTAATCTCCTTCTGACTCAGGTTTTTTCTTCTGTATCTCTCCTATGCCCAGTGCTTTCAGCTGTAAGGCAAGGTTATTCTAATAGTTTAGTTCTTCCCAGGGAAGTAATTCTCTTGTTAATTAACTTTTTTTTTACTGCTTCCCAAAGCAGGTAACATTAGTTTTCTTTGTGGCACCTTATACTCAGGAATAATTCTGCTTTACACAACAGCCTTTTTTTTCTAGGGGAGGGAAGGGGGACCAGTTTTGGCTAGCTGGAGGACATAAATAGCAAAATGCTTCAGAAACATGAGAAAGTAAACAGAAAAATAGTAGAGATTCATAGACATCTATGAAACTTCTCTCAGTTGTTGTGGTTTAACTCCAGATGCAACTCAGCCTCATGAAGACACTCACTCCTGCCTCCCTACCCCCATGTGGTGGGGGAGAGAATCAGGGGGTAAAAGTGAGAAAATTCATGGGTTGAGACAAAGACAGTTTAATAGGGAAAGCAAAAGCCATACACACAAGCAAAACGAAATAAGGAATTCATTCACCGTTTCCCGTGGGCAGACAGGTGTTGAGACGTCGCCAGGAAAGCTGGGCTTCATCATATGTGACAGTGACTTGGGAAGACAAACACCATCGTTCTTAATGTTACGCTCTTCCTTCTTCCCCCAGCACTATATGATGAGCATGAGCCATATGGAATGGAATATCCCTGTGCTGTGTCCCTTCCCTCTGCCCCTTATTCCATAGGATGTAACTACTTCTCAGAAAAGCACTATGCTTGGGGAGAAAGAGAGGGGAAAGAGTTTTGGCCTCATCCCATTGATGTACAAGCAGGGGCTAAATAGGATGAGTACAAGTAAAATCTCTTCATCACTAGCTCTTGTAATTTCATTTATCTGGTTGCTTACCCACCCTGCAATTCTTATTATTAATCTCTGTATTGTTTGGTTTACCTAAATAGAGCTTGTAGTTTATTAAATACTTCAGTCAATTCCAGAGAGATGAAGCCACTATAAAGTCCTCTGTATAGAATCTGTAAAATTTACCAGCTTAGGCTGGCACAATGTATTTTGGCAACTATCACCTTTTCAATTTACTTTCATATCTTCAAGTATTCATCTGTCAAAATATGTATGTTCTCAGAACACGTGCCTTTAGTAAAGTTTTAGCCCCAGGCAGAATTTTATCTTAAAAGTCGTACATAGAAATATAAATCTCAGGTGGCTTTATTGAAGTTTTGTATATTGTGCAATGTAGATTGTATTTGGTGCTTCTCGAATACATAGGTAGTCAAATATATATCCTGTGTGAGCAGAATCTGATTCTTACCTGTCTTTCTTTTGTTCCTCCAGTTTGGTATATAAAAGTATCTTAATGTTTTCCTACTTAAAAGTGAGGTGGTAGAAAAAAAGCAGCTTTCCAAATCTAATCTGACACAATACTGTTTTGCAGTTGCTTTGTAATTATTAAACTGTTGTCACTAACATTTAATGCATAGATGAAGAGCTGTACGTAGTTTGGGGATGCAATACTGTGTATTTCACAGAGACACTAATCAGATATCTCACTAAAATGCCTTGCAGAAGGTAAGGTTGTTTTGTTTTGTTTTTTCCCTCAGGGCAAACTTCAGTGTTTTGTAGCAGAAGTCTGTGTATCGTGGAACAGCAGCTGGTAACAGGCTGTAGGAAAAGTGCTGTCTGGTGAGTAAACATGCCTGTAAAAAATAATCTAATTTATATATACTTTGTTGGCAAAAAAAAAAAAAAAAAAAAAGGTCGTTGACACCTCATCCACATACAAAAATATTGTTGATGTAGTGTGTATATTTGTATTTATTATCCCTCCCCAAAAGATTACTTGTCTATGACCAAAGTGCATATAACGATGTAGGGACCGCATTATCTCCACTGATCCCGTTTCTCTCAGCTGCCCACGGAGAGGCCCGTAGAGAGCACTCTTTGTTCATCCGTCTCCTTGTACACGGTGGATTTGGCAGTGCTGGATTAAGGGTTGGACTCGATGATCTTAAAGTTCTTTTCCAACCTGAACTACTCTACGATTTACCATTGTCCAGAGCGGTGACTGCTGGGGCCGAGCCCCTCTCCCCGGAGCCCATTACCAGTTCACACCCGCAGGGATAGCAGGAGCCGGCGGGCTTTCCTGACACAATGGCCTTACCAGGGAGGGAAACCCCTTCCCCCAGCACCGCCGGTGCGCGGCTGGTGAAGGAATCAAACAGCGCGAATGTCACCCTCAGGCACCCAGACGGTCACCGCCGGCGGACCGGGAGGTGAAGGGGGCTCCCTGAGGTACCTCCCGTCACCCGGTGGGAGCGGGCACACAGCCTCTGCCAGTGGGACTCCCTGAGGACCAGCGTCCCGACTGCTTCCCCCGCCGCAGGAGCGCCCTCCGCCCCCGGCACAGCGCGGAGAGCGAACAATGGCCCGGGGCCGGCGCCCGGCGGGTGCTCGGGGCTCGGTCCCGCCCCGTCGCTCTGCGGCCGCCGCTGCCCGCCCTCTCCGCCCCGACCGGACAAGTCCCCTGAACTTTCCCCGGGCGCTCGCAACAAGCGGCCCGCGCCGGGCTGCCCCGGCCGCTGCTCTCCGCGCAGCCCACCGTCCCTCTCGCCGAGTCCCCTTCAAGCACCGCCGGCCCTGGGAGTCTCCGAAATCCCTGCAAACTGCCCTCCCGGGGACCCCCGTCACGGCGCTTGAGAAGAGCCCGCCGCCGCCTCCGCTCCTCTCCCGTTCGCACCTCGCACAGTCCCCCGCTCGCCCGCACGCCCCCGCCTTCCCCCGCACGCCCCCGCCTCCCCGCCCGCGTTCCCTCTGCCCACCCCCGCCCGGGTCCGCACACGCCCACCCCCAGCCCCTGCCCCTTCCCGAGAGCCAGACCCGGGCAGAGCCATCCGCTGCCGCCAGCTCCCATCCCCGGGGCCGCGCCGACCTCCGTGCGCTACTTCCCGCCGCCCAGGAGAAGACCCTTCACAAAGGAGGGAGGCAGCGGGAGGCGGGGGACACACGCACGCCCGGCCGCTCCGTCCGGATGCGGTGAGCCCCCCGCCTCGCCTCCGGGGCCGCGTCAGCGCGGGAGGGAAGAAGAGGAGCAGCGGCGGCTCTCCGGCTGCCACCATGGGCTGCTGCACGGGGCGCTGCACGCTGATCTTCCTCTGCTCGCTGCAGCTGGTGAGTGCCGGAGCGCTCTTCGGCTTCGCGGGGGGCGGGAGGGGACGGGCGCTCTGTCCCCCGCCCCGGGCGCGGCCGCCAGGGGCGCGGAGCGGCGCTGACCTGCCCGCGGAGCTGTCCGTGCCCGCCGCCCCGACGGCGCGCCCGCTCCGCGCCCCGAGCCCCGGCCCGTAAGTTTTGCGGTGCGAGGCGGCGTGGGGCGAGAGCGGCCCCTCGGCCGGAGCAGGGAGGGGAGCGGCGAGCTCGGCCGGTGCCGCGGCGCCCCCAGCACGGATGGCTGTCAGGGCTCCCTGCCGGAGGGAGAGCGGCTCCCCCGCCCTGGTGTCGCTTCGAGGCGGTGTTGCTCACCGCTGGTGCTGAGCAGGGGCTTCCCCCGTCTGCTCGAAGTGGAGGCCGAGGGGAAGAGCGAGACTCACGGTGCCCCCGCCTGGGCGGCAGTCCGTGCCCGCGGGGCGGCGGTGGGGCCGGGCACTGCCGGGCTCTGCTGGCGCGTTGGGAAGGTGCGGGGACCGGCGTCGCTCGCCGCCTCTTTCTTCTTCTGTTTTTCTTAACCTGTGTAAAAGCGGTGTCTGCCGACCCTCTTCCGTGACTTTTCTTGGGGTTCCTTTCCTCTGATTAAATATTCCTCAGATCGCAATCGAAATAACAGAAAGGTGCAGCTTCTTCTCTTTGTTTAGTGAAGTTGGCATGTTTATTGTAGAGAAGAGAGTTGTTGAGACAAATCTCCGCCAAACAACAATAATCCTTCCTCTGGCTCATTAGCTGGATGATAAAATAATGCTCTTCCTTTAGGAGTAGTAACCAGTCCCAAGAGTGTTTTAAAAGATTTTTCTCCTTTCTAGTGAGTCAGAGTCATCATTTTGCCACATGATCTCTCTTAAAATTAGTGCTGTTCCTTGTGCGTGTGTGTCTGTAAAGAATACAAGTGGGATGCAGTTAGTGGGGATTTTTTGTTTGTTTGTTTTGTTTTCGTCATCCTTTTTCTGATCTTTCTAGTTGCCTGTCAGACCACATTGAAATCGCTTCTGTTTACATTAGAAGTGATTGTACATATTGCATTTATTTGAAGATCCTCGTTTGTTTTCAAGGCTTTGTGCCAGGTTCTTAGCCTGTGCAAACTGGTGTGTCTCCATTGTTTGCAGTGCGAACCTGGACCTTATTCAGATGTGCTTTAGTGTGATGAGCTAAGTGTGGTTATAAGTACCTCAATGACACAATCTTGCCAAAAAACAGAGGAGGCCTGCGATTTGTACTTTTAGCGTGAGGAAAGTGTTCTTTATACATTTCTGGGATTATTTATTTCTTGTTTTGCATCATTTTTGTCCTAATGACTGCAGAAGAGTTGCTCCTGATTTACTTCAGTGCATGCGGGAGGGGAAACAAACCCTATTTCTTCAAATATATCTCTCTGCCTGTTATGAGGGTTATAATAACTGTATTTACTATTCTGTAGAATTACTGGTAGGCTATAAAAATTGAAGTAATAGTGCGAATAGACACCATAATCTGCAGAGAAATGCATAAAAAGTCTTTCAGGAAAAGATTCGTGTTTTATAAAAGGCCTATCAGTTGATATAACAACTTTCAAAAATTACTTCAGTGCATAGTTCTTTCTACTGAACTTACTTGTTTTATAATAATGTTCCACGGTCATATCTGTGTCTTTCAGGTGCTGATAAATGTCTGTTTTGGAAAACGTTGACATTTTAATTTATTGTCATTTAAATATAGAAGTCTTTTTTTATATCCAAGAAGTAATCTAGTACACATGGTGTTCTGGTTCTGACCAGGACAGGGTTAATTTTTTGCAGCATCCAGGAGGGGGCATGGCTAGAACCTGGACCTTATTCTATATCACCTCATCATTGCCTATAGCACCTCATGTCTGTTGCCAGGAGTGGGGGAAAGGGACTCTCTTCTGGAGAGAAGGGCTTCCTTCTGGTCGGGATGCTATGGGCCAAGTTCCAAGCGGAGGGAACCTGGCTGTGGTCACTGTGAGGTTGGGCTCAATGAGCATTTTGCATGTGAAACACTCTCTCTTTTGTACACTTTTGTTATTAATATTGCCGCTGTTACTGTTTGTTTTCTTATGTCATTGCTGTTTCCAGTAAATTGTTCTTATCCAAGACCATGATCTTTGCCTTTTGTGCCTCCAGTTCTCCTCTCCAGCTACCTGCTGGGGCTGAGCAGTGGCAGAGTGGTTTGGAGAGTCTCTATGGGAGTACTAAATTAGGAAATACCATTCGTAAACCAACACACATGAACTTACAGCTCAGATACTTTCCATGATCCCAGCAGTTGTAGTGTTGAGTTTATATATGTACATATTGTTGCCACAGGCAGTTTTAGAGCTTTTTCTAACATCTTAGGGGTCATGAGTATAAAGCGTATGCAGCAAAACTGCATCCCTGGACATCACTGTAATTAAGTGAGATTTATTTTACTTTGCATCCATTCATGACAGTTTGAAGGAAATATTAGTGATTGTGGATAATGTTTTTACTAAGTCTTACAAAATCCAAAGCACTTGTAGTGCTGATTTGTAGAATTTCAGAAGTACTGATGATTTATATGACTCGAGGAAAAACTTTAAAAAAGGAGACAGATAGGCACATATTTTAGAAAAGGAAGTTGTTCACCTTAGTCATGTCAGAAAAGGGCCTGTGAACAGTTCAGGCTTAACCTGAGGCTTAACCTTAAGATATCACCTGAGAAAGAAATATCTTGTTAAACACAGTTGGCAACACCTTTTATAGCATGCATGTACCATGTAGATTCTTTTTCATGTAAGATGTGAAGTATAAATGCCAAATCTCTGGAGACATGTTCATTTACAAGATTTGGTTCTTGTTCTGCAGAAAGGTACATTGTTTAGTGTTCTCAAAGTGCAGTTTCTTGATTCTTTGAAACTTTTGTCCTATTCATCCCAGCAATGTATAAACAAGTAGCCTAGGCAAAAGTGAAGAGAACAACAGTTATTGTATGACAGTCAATAAAATACCTTTTCTCTAATGTTAACCTGTTAAGTGTATTAACTGCAAGAAGATTTTCTTTTTTGTAATTTTCAGCGCTGTTTGTCAGAGGATTTTGACATAAAAATGGCAATAATACCAGTTTTCAGTTACATTTTGATCCATGAAATTGATTATTTTTGACTGACAGCTTTTACTTTTTTATAATAAGCACATTGAAATGTTGAAGTCAGTAATCCCAAGGACATTCTGTAGTTAGTCTTCTATCATTTAATGCTAACTTCATTCATAGACATAAATCCATATCATTACGTGTAATAGAGGATTTTGCAAAAAATCATTGAGATGGAAAGCTAAATGGTACAAGTTCAGGAAAAGCTTTTAGTCACATGTTTTTGTTGAATCCCTTCAGGTGGATTTTGCTTCTGAAAATCAGGGCAATTTTGTGTAACGAGAGATGAATCTTGCCCACCACACCCGCTGCCCTTGATCCTTCACTGTTTTGCTCTTCCTGACTGAAGCACTGTCATATGCCATTGCCAATATTGTCAAGCAAAGAAGTCAGAAGTGTATGTATATCTTTTTGTGCATAAATCTGTCATTTAGACTATTAGGATCTATGTGCACATTGGGAAAATATATCATAAAGATATATGAATCCTTTGGATTACAGTCATAATTCTTACTTGTGCCACTAGAAGTCTGAGATGTTGGCCTCATCTGTACTAGAAAATTAAAGCAGCTACCATAGACTATGCCTGTGCTAGTGTATGAAACTCTGCCATAAAACACTGTAAGATGAAAAGGTTTGTAAAATAAAACAAATTCAAAAAATATTAAATTCTGGAAGGGGTAAATTGACAATGAATTGTAGTGAGATTTAGCTGTGTGAGTCCAATTGATGTTAATATATGTCACACAGTGAAAACCTTCATGCTGCTTTGAAAATGTGTTTCTGAGAAACTACCATTGCAGGATAATTTTGTTTCAACATTTAGAATAAGTGGAAGTTTTTGGGACCTAGAAGAATACAGATAAACAACCACAAAAAACTCTAAATAACAGAGATGGTGAATGAGATTTTCAAAGTGGTGAAGGGAAGGTTGATGGAAAGTGTGTGGCTAAGTCTCCTTATGGCTTTGACAATTTCATTTCATGTGTTTATCCTTGGACTCCTCTGCACTGTGTTCATTTTGTAGGTCTTGATTTAGAAGTGTATGGTTTATCCAGTTATAGTTAGTGTTAAATAGGCCTATTTTACCTGTTACTTTCCAAATATTTTAAGTGTCAGCAGACCACACTGTTTTGACTAGTGATTGTTTGACTAGTACTAATGTGATTGCAATGTAGTAAGTACTAGTGATTGTTTGGGGAGTGCAGTTGGTCATTTTAACAGACTAATCCTTCTCAATATTCAAGAGATTTATGTTTATGATTGACATTAACATTAAGTATACTGGTGTATGTAAATCCTTAGGTTTGGAGACTGTATCCATTCGACTGAATGGCAACATTTAACATTTGTTACTGTACATCATGAAATTTCGGCAGTTATGTGGGGAAGTGATATATATGCCGTGCACAGATTTTCATCTCATTTTAAAATACTTTGTAGGGTTAGACACTAACTTGTGATTGGTGCTAACTAACTAACTAACTAACTAACTAGCTCTTGGTGCTTGTATGTTAGAACAGACATATACCAGTTATTGAGTTATCAGCTCAGGGATTCAAGGGATTTGATAAATTTGAGAAAGTAAAATCTTTGAACCAGTGAATTGGTTCTTTTGAATTGCATCTTTTTTATGTTGGTAAAAGAATCACCAGCCCATTGATCTGGAGATGAAGCATCTGTCCACTGGTAAGAGAAGGGGAAGTATGACGGGTGCCTATTGGACTAGCAAGGACAGGGGAAGCTTGGGATTTTAGCCCTGAACATCCTACCTGCAGAATGTTGCCCTTTCTGTTACAGCAGCTGAGGTGTTTTCAGAGATGTTTTCCTCTGATAACTAAAATAGCATCCCCCAA